ATACAGCAAGCCAACAGCCAACATCAAACTAAATGGAGAGAAACTCGATCCAGTTCCTCTAAAATCGGGTACAAGACAAGGCTGTCCACTCTCTCCATACCTCTTCAATATTGTCCTTGAAGTCCTAGCTTCACTGATTATTAAAATGCTGGTTGTTAGATGTGGCTGGTTAGGGAATAATTTCCTCAAGTTTCAAGACTGCTTACTGCTGATTTAGGGGGCATTGACCTTCTTTGGTGACCTGAGAAAGCTGGGTGGGATCATCCTGGAGTAGCTGGTTGTTCCACCGTAGTCCTGGAGGTGAGGATCTCTCTGGTACTTCTTAGACCTGCGCAGATGTCAGCTTCCAAGTGTATTCGTCTTCTGGTGCATTTAATGTAGCTAAAGACAACCAGAGCTAATTAGGACACCATCTCCCAATGTATCTTGTAATCTCTATATTGGCAGACAGAGATGGGCAGATAGTAAGAGCTTGATGACCAGAAAGCATAGTTGGAACAGTGGGTTTCAAGCTCAATGAGAAGTCTATTCGACTTCCAATCTCACGGTATTTGTAGATTCAGGTCTCCACCAAGGCTCCACAGCACTGTCCAACCATCTCATGAAGCCAGTTTAAATTCTTGTACCCTCAGGCCTCCGCTTCTCAGGGCTGGAATCACAGGAACATTCAAACACACCCTCGTGTAACCTCTCGTCCTGCTACCTCAAGAGAGACTCGCTTGTTGTTATTTTAAATGAGATAAATTTTGTGAAACTTTGTCATTTACTTGCATCTTATGTCAACAATAAATTAGTTTCTGGAAATTATTCCAAAAGTTTTAGAAGGAGCTTGAAAGAGGTACATTCAACCTGTGAGCATATTTCTTATAGGCCCATTCCTATACAGGAGATTTACTTTGCATTATGTATATGCTAGGAAGGGTAGATATAGTTTCTGTGTTTTCCTCTGGTTATCTTCTCACATCTGTTATTTTGGAGCGTGATCTACAAATGAGATAGAGATTTATCTTTCTATGTTAATGTGCTTGTTTTCTGGTTGACCCATCACCATTTCCAATTTAAGATTCCTGTGGTCCAGAATAGTGTTCCATTGGTAACTGAGGAATAGGCTAGAGAGGGGACTAGCTGTAAGGGGGGGGGGGAGTGAAAATTGTAAAGGAGATTTCTAATTAGGGATGAAATGAAGACAGCCAATATAGGAGAGCAAGAAGGAAGAAATATTAATGTTTGGTAAGGATTAAGAAGTATTGATTGAGCCGGCGTTGGTGGTGAACACCTTTAATCCCAGCACTCGGGAGGCAGAGGCAGGCTGATCTCTGTGAATTTGAGGCCAGGCTGGGCTTCAGGGCAAGGGCCAGGATAGGCTCCAAAGCCACAGAGAAACCCTGTCTTGAGGGGGAAAAAAAAAAAAAAAGGCAAAAAAGAAGTGTTGATTGTGTAAATACCAAAAATTGTAAATCATGCAACGTGTATTGTAAACAATACATATTATATAATTCATTTTAATGATATGTATAGTTACATAATATGTAATGTAGGTGTGAATGCAGGATTATGTACGCACAGATATATACATTCAATATATATGAGTGTGTAGTTTTTTATCCATATTAGGTGTATCTATATCACTTAGCTGGCAGCCCCTACCATCAAGAACCATACATTAGTTGGTGGCGCAAGCCTTTAATCCCAGCACTCGGGAGGCAGAGGCAGGCGGATCTTTGTGAGTTCAAAGCCAGCCTGGTCTACGGTGTGAGTGCCAGGATAGGCTCCAAAACTACACAAAGAAACCCTGTCTCGAAAAACCAAAAAAGAATAATCATACATTAATAAAAATAGCAGTATAAGGCCTGAGAAGTCTAAGTTTCAGTTGTGATAGCCTATGTAATTCTCCAAATAATTTAGGGTCCTTTTTTTTCATTGCTGGGGCCTGGTTTTATCAGTCCCATGCTACAGAGGCTATCTATTCCAGACTGATGTCTTAGGGGCTGTGATCTGAGACAGGCGAATGGCTCTAGCTCCATCCCTGAGTAGGGGAGTGTTGGACTGGGAAACTCTTAGCTACCCAATGGTGACAAAGAGGAGATATAACCATCTTGTCATTTCAGGAGGGCTCTCAGTCCATGCTGGAAACTGGAGTTTCCGGTTTATTCAAGCATCCTCTTAAATAGCTTTCCAACAGTGGGGGTGACCCCCAAAGACATCTACTCTCAGTATAAAGCTGATATCAAAAAATTCTTTTAACCCTAGTGGCACACCTAAACAGTCCTTAGGCAAGCAAAGCTCTCAGAACAGGTGCAGGCACACCCAGGACCTATGTCTGATGTTATGCAAACTAGGAGACATTCTCCACTGAGGCCAAGCCATAGGGCAGTAGTTTAGCCCTCATCTAAAAGGCAAAGTGAGATTCGAGCTGTATCTGAAATACCGTAATCGGTATTTAATAATAGATTCAGTACAAGTTGCCAAATGCTAGAATCAGTCCATAGACTTCCCAAGCTGTGACATCTGTAGTGGTTTGAATGAGAACAGCCCCTTAAGCATGTATTTGAATGCTTGGTTACCTTTTGGTGGAAAAGTTGGGGAAGATTAAATGTGGCCTAGTTGGAGAGGGTTAGTTACTGGGGATACTTTGAAGTTTGAGTGTTGACAGTGTTACCAGTTATCTCTTTCTCCTCATCTCCAGCAATCAGATCATTATGTAAGCTCTTTCCTCTTTCCCATCACTGTGCTTGCTTTCCTGCCTGCAGCCATATTACATGTAATAATCATGGGCTTTAACCTCTAGAGCCATGGGTGTCTTTCAAAAGTTGACTTGTGCTGGGCGTTGTTGACACACACCTTTAATCCCAGCACTCGGGAGGCAGAGGCAGGGGGGATCTCCATGATTTGGAGACCAGCCTGGTCTAAAAGAGCTAGTTCCAGGACAGACTCCAAAGCCACAGAGAAACCCTAACCCTGAAACACCCCCACCCCCCAAAGTTGAGTTGCTTAGGAAGTCTCATTACACCCAATGGAAAGTAAATAACACTATGAACCTAAATAATGATCGACTTGGCAAGATACC